TGTCTGCGCCTGTCTGCACGTCGTGCTTGTCCAATGTCATATGCATACATACATAAGCATCTTACATACAAAACACAAACTCACTTTCATCTCTTACCATGCCATACGCCAGCATTCCACCAGCCAGCCAGCAAGCCAGCCAAGCCAGCCAGCCAAGCCAGCCAGCCAGCCATGCAGCCATCCAAGACCCAGCAAGTAGTCCAGAGTAGCCTCATTCAGACATTCATCCGCTTGTCCGTCCATCCATCCATCCCGCATCGTGATGGAGCATGCCAATTACAATTTTAAATGCGCCTGTCAAACTGAAACTTTTTCGAGAGATGCTTGATTTCATTTCCCGCTCCAAACAATATTTCTGATTTCTTTTTTTTTTCAAGTTCTTTTTTTTTTGGGAATTTTTTCATTATATTTTTTCTTACGACCGTATATTTGGGTGCATGTGTGTATGTGTGTGTGAGTGTGTATTTGAATGGGTGTTTGTTGACTGCTGTCCGTTTGAATTTTTTTTTTTCTTGTATTTTTTGTATTTTTTTTTTTGTTTAATTTTTTCCGCTGCTCTTCTCCTTTTGTTTCATTTGTTATACTCCACACGTTCGTCCAGCCATATTTCGTCTGCCACTGTGCTGTAGGGTGGTTTTCGACATTTTGGATGACTGACTTTGATTTAGGAGCCACTTTAACTTCGCATCGCTGCGGTTCGAGTGGACTTTTTGGCTGGTTGGTTGGTTGGTTGGCTAGCTAGCATGTAGTGGCATGACGAATGAAACAATATAGCAAAGAATGAAAAAAAAAATCTTGAAAACTACAACAACAACAACAGTAGCCAAATGTAGTGCAATAAAAGCGAAGGCAAGTAGTTGTAATGAATGGGAATGTATTGAAAAAGTTGTATTGTAGAGATGAGGGAAAAGTCAAAAAGGCGAAAAGAATAATATCATGCGGCCGCCCACACACACACACACACACACACAGAGACACACGTACACAGTTTAAGGCATATTTGGCACAAAACATGAAAACGCATATATGTACATAGAAACACTTGCAAGTACAAGTACTCCAAAAAAAAAAAAAAAAAAAAAAAGTCAGAAAAAAAAAGTCAGAAAAAAAAAGAAAAGTTTCTTCACACTTACATATATATACATATATATATATACATGTATGTGTGTATGTGTGGTTGCGTTACAATTGTGACAGGAATAAAAATGATGGAAAATTTATTGATGCTTTGCTATGTCATTTGTTCACAGCAATACAAATTACAACAACAACAACAACAAAGGGTATAACTAATATCGATACACTTAAAGCGATAAATTTTCATTTGGCTTGCAAAACACACAAATAAATATAATATGATGTATGTATGTATGTAAGCTTACTTATATGGACATACATATGTATATATATATACGTATGCGCAAATATATGTGTATTTCATTACTTAAATTATGTTGGTTAATGTTTGTATTGATTTGTGGAATTCGTGCGTGTTAACATGATTTTGGGCATAAAGCTTGAGTAGATATATACATATATGTATCTATGTATTTGTGTTTGTGGTTATAGGCGTGTGGTAGTAAGTGTAGGTGACAGCAGGATACATTAACCTGATGTTTATGCTTGTAAGTGCACGACAGTTTCGAAATTTTAATGTGAAACATTTCATGCTCAGGTTCTGCTAATGCCATAAAGCATATGCGGTAGGCCTAAACATATAAACACAACTTCAATAAATAATTTTGTAATTGCAAAGAGCAAAAAGAAGAAAAAAATGTATTTTCAAGTACACCAAGTTCAGAAGTAATGCCAGAGGTCGCTTTAATAATATATCATGGCACATGTTTTCGGAATTTGATTTATTTTATATGAACTGAATACGAGGGGATTAACAAAAGTTCGGTAAGCTGTACAGAAAAAAGTAAATCTATTTGTATTTATTCATAATCATTATTCCTTTTATCTTTTTTACATAATCGTCATTGGTTGCCGTTAAAATTTGCCGTTAAATACCCCTACTTTTGAACTATTTTCGATTTTTGGCAACAACCAGAAATCACAAGTTGTAATATCCAGGGATTAGGATGCTGGACGTACAGATTTCTTCGATCCCGTTATCATGATGTAAAAAGTGGCGCCGCAAAATCTTTTTCTTCCTGTTTTCCAACAAATTTTTGATAAACTTTTGTTAAGCACTCCTCGGTGTATTATTTTGCAGTTTCTGTCTGATTCCTTTCCAACGGAATATCAGCTTCGATTTTAGATTGGGTGAAGTCAACTCACATCATTACTTTTGCTGCTGATTATTGTTGCTTAGACTGTACGGGTGGGCTTGCTCCTGTTGGGCTCCATACCCTGAACTGCTGTTTGGTTACTGGATCTGGTACTTATAGAACCAAGATTCGTCAGCAGAAACGACTTTACTAAAATTGCTAGACTGAGCATTTTCAAATTTGTTAAGGAAAAATTTAGCAAAATGCACTCGGGCCTCATTTTGGGTCTCATTTAATATTCTTGGTAAAGATTGGAGCAGATTTCTTCGTGCTTCCTATTTGATTACTAAACATATGCGCTTCGGCATGGATCGCATTCAAGCCCAATTCATTGCCAATAATTTCTTGTGTCAATCGTGGGTCTTCATCAGTTTTGGACTTCATCAGAGCTACAGTGACGTCAACAGTGTAATAGTTTGGTCGACCTTTTCGGGGTTCGTCCTCTACGAAAGAATGTTCGGTCTTAAATCTTCGGAACTACTTAGAAATAGTTCTTAGTTCGCGATACGGTCATGGATCGCATTCAAGCCCAATTCATTGCCAATAATTTCTTGTGTCAATCGTGGGTCTCCATCAGTTTTGGACCTTTTCGGGGTTCGTCCTCTACGAAAGAATGTTCGGTCTTAAATCTTCGGAACTACTTAGAAATAGTTCTTAAGGATGCAATTTGTCATTTACTGAATATTTCTATTGGCTGTAAATTACGGCGAAACCCGAAGAGAATCAAATGGCGAATTTCTATTTACGTTGGTGATGGAATTTCGTCTGACCTATTCTCAGCTATCTTGCGTTTACTCGTCTTCATTTCAACCGATCGTTCTAAAATTTGACAGAAAGACTAGTAAAGCAAATGAAAAGGATTTGGAAGATAGTAGTTTGAGAGTATCAAAGGTTTTCATAAGACCTGAAGTCATGGCTTCTTCTGTCCATACGTCCAATTATAAGAAAATTCAAGAGAGTTTCTTCATCATTTTCGGGTTAACAGTGTAACAAAAGCTTTTAATCCGATTGTTAACGGAAGATTGAGTGGACCGATCTAAGTGTATTGTGCCGTAAACTCAGGTTTACCAGAACCCAGAGATATTCTTACAGCTTATTCTTTTGGAACCAACATTTTGGTGGCATTTCTGCACCCATGACACGTACCATCTATCGCTCGATGCATGGCCAGTAAGTCCCATGGGTGAAATACTACCGAAGCTCGTCGAAATCGAATCATTCCCGGACGTTGCAAAATCTTTTAAATACCAGAATATAAAATGAAAAATCTTGCTCAACCGACGACGAACCTCGAAAAACGACTTAAAAACCTAAATCGACGGCAAACAGGCCAATGTTTAGTGTACGGTTAAATTAGAAGGGAGTTGTCGGTAGTGAACTGCTGCAGCCTGCCGAAACGACAAGTTCCGAGTTCTACTCTGCAATTATAAGAAGCTTTTAATAAGCTCTTCAAGAAAAGGGTCCAGAATAAGTTAATAAATAATAAATATAGATTATTTTTATATGACCTCAGTTTTGAATACCAGACCTCAATTGGCTGAGCTTTGTTGGGAAGTTTGGATGTACCGACTTTATAGTGCGCACTTGAGACACTCCCAAAACTCACTGTTTAGTGTGTAGCGCACACGGCAGAGGAAATGGTTAACAGAAGCCGTTCTTAATGTTGCAGCCAACGGTATAGAACCATGATTAATGACCTTTTCGTGCCTGAATTGAAGGATGTTGATATAAACTTCGAACACCACGGCATGTCATAATCGTACAGGCAACGAAACAATAAACTTATTGAAGTAAACTTCTGGCGAGTGCATTTTCACTCATCCTGGGTCTATAGCCTGGCCTCCACCATCGTGCTATTTAACACCGGTGAACTTTTCTCGGCAGGTATATGTGAAGTTGCTTGGCAACGGGAATAAACCCGAGACAACTGAGGCCTTGAAAGCACATATTCGATGCATTACGGCTTTAATTAATGCAAAAAGTGGTCGAAAGCTGGATCTATCGATTGGAATGCATTCGAAACAGCCGCATTTACAGCCAATACTAAACCCTTATCTTTACAATGAAACTAGACTCTTAGTCCTGAGTTTAAATTATAAGCATTTTATTTCTTCTAGAAAACTACATGTGTTCAAAAATACCATTTATTTTGACGGTAAAAAATTGGTCGACCAAAGCGCGGTTCGAAATAATTTATTCAAGTTCTGCGCTGATGACATTATGAAGCTACCCGAAAAGGGGCAAAAGGTCCTAGATAATGATATGGCATTTGATTAAAATTAATTTTCAGCAAGAATTTTTTTTTTTCAAAGACTTATTTAATCAACAATAAAGTCGTTGCATATTTTTAAGGAAAATAATGCATTAACAAATATTTCAAACATTTTTTTTAAATATTTTTTTTTAATTTAAATTTTTTTCACACGAATTTCACATTATTACCGCCTGTTTTTTTTTTTTTTTTTTGACACAATCATATGAGTTTTTTGACCTGCAAGCCTGCCTTCAGACGTGTGAAACTGTATACGGGCCTTTGTGTGTCACCACACTTTTAATCAATAAATTGCCGTAATTATTCACCAACTACCAATACATGTCGGCAGCAAGCCTACACATACAAGTATACTTATACGATATGTACATTGTATTAAATGTATTATTTTTATATAAACACATACATATGTATGTATGTATATTTAGGTATTGAAGGTATTATCTTTCACCCACCTGTGGCGCAGATGCCTGCTGAGATGCGGATATGGTGTCGTCGCCGTTGTAATCAGCTGATATGGCTGTTGTTGCAAATACGCCGCTGCCGTTGCCGCATCCACAATAGGTGCATTCAAGTATGGCGAGCCGGCGGCTGCCGCATTTGCAATCTGTCCCATTGCATTGGCAGCCGCATTACCATTATCCAGAAAGATGGCTGTATATTGAGGTGGATAGGCTGTTGCCGCTGCAGTGGCAGCGCCCTGTGCGCCAACATTCGCAGCTACATTTGCGCTCCACTTTGCCTTGTTGTTGATGGCGCCACCGCCGCCGCCGCCACTGCCGCTGTTGCCCGTAGACTTGTGCGACTTGCGCGTACGTGAACGTTTGCTGGCACGCGACGATGAATCACGCGAACAGGTGCTCGTATTTAGCAAGTCGGCTAGTTCGGCTACGCTGGCATTGTGGTTGTTATTGGCAGTGGTGGAGATATTGGTTGGTGTCGCTACTGGTGGCGGCATTTGCAGTTGGGCGCGTGCCGTGGACAGTTGACATTGCTGCTGTTGTTGTGCTGTTATTGTTGGGCCCACACAATCGCCACCCACACTACCAGCACCTGCACCGTTAATACTGCTGCCACCACCAATGCTAATACTACCAATTGAGGGCGGAAACTGGAGCTCGCTATAAATACTCGACTCGAGTATATTGCTATCGGAGGTACTGCGATTTAGCATGAATTGTTCGAATTCATCGTTCATCACCACAACAGCGTCGAGCTGTTCAACGTTGTCCATATCTACAATGCCATTCATTCGAGCGGAGGTACTGTTGAAGTCAGAGTTGGAGTGGGAGTGGGAGTGGGAGTGGTTGGTGGTGTTGTCGATGGCGGAGAGTAGTGCGGTGCTTTCAATGGCAGAATCATCACAATTGCTGCTGCTGCTACAGCTGCTGCTGTTGCTTGAATCGGCCATTTGGTTTTCACATTTTTTATACACTTGATGTGCTTGTCGTTGGTGCTGTTGTTGTTGTTGTTGTTGTTGTTGTTTGTGTTGCTCCGGGCGCTGTTGCCGCTGCTGTTGCTGTTGTTGTTGTTGTTGAAGATTCTGATGACTGTTGTAGCTGCCGTTGATTACAATCTCCGGTATGCTGGCAAACTGCCCTTCCGGCTCTTGGTAATAGCAGCTATTTCTATGGCTACTAATGCTGCTGCTGTTGCTGTTATTGTTGTTGCTATTTGTACTGCTGGTACTTTGGCTAGTGTTGTTGCTGCTACTTATGCTACAATTGCTCGTACTGGTGTTGTTGTAACTCATATTATACTCATAGACGGCACCCATGATTGTGCCATTCTCGAAGACAACAGAACAATTCGTAATATTGTTGCTGGAAGCTGTGTTGTTGTGAATTTTGTTGTTGCTATTAGCATTAGGATGCGAGTTGATGCTGGCAGTGATGGTGGAAGCGTTTTGATTTATGGGGGTGGCGTTTCTGCTGGTGGCATCCATTGTTGTTGTTGTTTTTGTTGTTGTTGTAGCTGCTGCTTTTGCTGTTTTATTTTATTGCAGCGGAGATTAGCTGCAATTTCTGTGATTAGTTTTTGCCGTTGTGTATGTACTTAATGACTGCCTTAAATGCGGAAATGTATGTTTTCTTTACCGTTAGTGTGAGGAAATTATTTTGTGTATATTTGTGTTTTTTTTTTATTTCTCTCAAGATTAACTTCAATTAGTGTACAAAAAGTAATGGTTTTGGCACAGTATATATTTTTTTTTATGTAATTTTGGAATTAATTTAATTATTTTAGTTTTCGAATTATTTAATTTTGCTTCAATTTTAATCTTTAATTTTAATTATTTTTAATTAGAGGTTATTTTACTTTTTCTTAATATTCTTCATTTCGGATATATTTTTTTAAATTTAATTTTTTTATTTTAATTTTTATTAATTAATTTCTATTAAAATTAATTTTTATCACTTTTTTCTTTTCTTTTATGCGATTATCACACTTTAACTTCATTTGACATATAGTAACTGCATTAACACAATTGTTGTTATTCACATACATACATACATATCAGTATGCATATCCTTTTATTTCGCTTTACATATACACATACGTATACATATATATACATACATATATTTAAGCCTTCACTTTCATTTTGTCACTTTCATCTACCCTTAATCACCTTTAAATATCGTACAAATTTACGTGCCCCCGCTTTTACATACGTACACGAACGAACGAACACGCACGCACGCTCCCACACACACATCCACACATACACGCGCGCGAATATCAAAAACAAAAAACGTGCGTACGCGTTTATATCCTTTGTTTGGGGATTTGGACCGGTCTATACCGCTTGGAGTGCCGCCAAAAACTGATTTGAAAAATTCAAATTTTTGTTTACGTCGTCGTCGTCATCGTCGTTATTGGCGTTGCACGCGTTTGGCCAGCACAAGCATAATGTGGCAACAGCAGCAGCAGCAGCAGCAGTAGAAAATAGCTCTTCACCACACTCTCCGGCTCTCATGAGAGTAAATGTGAAATAATAAATGTGTATCTGTTTGTTTGTTTGTTTGTTTCACTGCTTACTCACTCATTCAGTTGCCAATACGTGTATGTTATGTGTGTGTGTGTGTGTGTGTGTATGCGTTTGGGAGAGTGCTTTAGGTATGAAAATAACAAACAAACAACCACCGTAATTTACCGTCGTCTCTGCTACATTGTTGTTATTGTCCGTCATCAACAAATGCATTCTACTTCTTCTTTTTCTACTTTACTCTCTGCACCCCGCAATCAGGCAATCAATAACGCCTTCTTCGCCAACATACAAACCAATAAGTAGAAACAAAAAGTTTTATTAAGAAAAATACATTGGCATAGAGTTGCCAGCAGTTAAGTGGAAATATCAAATGATGGATTAACAGTTTAACTTGGGCTTGTATGGCTGCAATTCAAAAGATTTCATTAAGCATAAATTTACTGATAAACATTGCATGCTTTTAGGCGTTGATGGCTTCTGTTGGAGTAAATTTACTGATACAGCTGCAAGTTCAATATTTTCTTTTATACATTTAAATTGATGACAAATTTTAATGAAATTTCTTAATAAAAATTACATATTTTTGTTTGCGTCATTCTGCGTAGGACTAAATTGTTGCTTGACAGAAAAAAAACCATGAAAGAAAATAAGCTTGATAGAAATTTATTAATTAGTTCGTTATACTTTATAATAGAGATATTTATTTATTAAACAAAAAAAAACAGTAAATTAGCCTGGGTGGGTTTTACGTAAAAAAAGATCATTAGATGATTCTCCACGTTTTTTTACAATTCCTTTTATATAAATAAATATCTTTAAATTTAGTAAATTATTGATTTTATTTGTTATTCTTAGTTCCGTATACATATACATATGTATGTAGGAATGTTAGTTAAATATCGTAAATATTAAACTGATTTGTTAGGTAACACTGATTGGCTGTTAAGCCTTGCGTAGGCCTGTTGTTCATTTCTATTGCCAGACAGAGATCAGGAAAATATTTTAATGACCTTTATTGTTAGTAATGCCCAAGCATGTGAGGCTAGTAAATTGTGATTTTTCTTACTCTTTGGGCTCTAGAAGATAGGCGAGATGTAGAGGTAATAAAATTTGATATTCTGTTGCAAAAACCAATCGTTGGACGAAAGACACTTTTGGTAATGCCATTACGATACAATTGTGACTGGGAAGCCTATAGATATACAATTTTTTTTATTATTTGCCGTCAATTAATATCTACAGGTTACCTACAACGCAATTCGTTATTTTTAAATCCGCCTCCCATACTGTCGGGAAATTTTCAATCACAACCTGTGCCATTCAAAGTCTTTAGGTGTTGGTGGATACCTTCTTTCCCTTATAAAGTAAAGTAAATATACTTTATAGACCTATGATCGAGGTTTCACAGCGCATGCAGCGATATTTTTCATTGCGTTGCCTATAGAATTACGAGTGTGTATATATGTCTTGAGAGTGTATTTATAGTCGTCTATTGAATGGTGTGACTATCTTCCAATTATAGAAAATTAATTTAAAACAAAACAATAAAGTTAAACTTTATAATTGCGGTCGCCCCTCGGCAGGGAATGTCAACCCCTCCGAGTGTATTTCTGGCATGAAATTAAAGCTCCTTATAAAAAAAAAACACCAGCCGTACAGAGGTGACTTAGTATAAACTGTTGATCTCTCCATTTGTTGGAAAACATCAAGCACAAATTGGAAAAGGAGCTCGGCCAAAAAGTCGCTTCAGCGGTTACAAAGCGCCAATAGAACACAGAGCAGCCTTTGAAGCGTTCGCGAAGCATCTTCCGACTTTAAAATAAACGTTAATTAAAAATAGTCTTTTACTTTTCGTTTTTAACATATTTTAAAATTTAATTAATAACTTTTTGGGTTATGATGGTACTTTTTCAGACCATATATATTTTTGGAAACAGTGAAAAAATTATAACAATAATTTTGAACGATAATTTGGCTTCTATTTTATTTTATTTCAATTGATTTGAATACATCTGAATATAATTTTTATTATTTTTATTTAATTATCTCGTTGGTTTTAAAAAAATCAGAAACCAACGACAAGCAAACTGTTCGGTGTACAAATTAATTCGGTCTGATTTTTTGTATTGGAAAAATGTTTTTTGTCAAAAGTAATAAAAATAAAATTAAAAATGCATCATTCAAAATATTCCATTTCCGAAGCGAGTATATTTTGCCATCTCCCTGGTACTTTTCGAATACTACCTCTAAAACAGAAACTCTCTCTTTGCCTTCGATACAATCATCGAGCCATTTTCTAATTTCTTCAAAAGACCTGCCCTGTTTTGCATCGGTCGGAAGATGAAAGGTTCGGATCGTACGTCGAGTAGGGTTAGATCTCTCATTTCAGCGTTCTAAGTTAGTTTCTCATCATAGCAGTCACGTGTGGCATAGCGTTCTCATGTTTCAGAATTACCTCTCGGTCGTTTCTTGCTGTTTTCAAGCAACTCATGGCTCAAATGTATTCATTGTAGTCAATGACGTTTCGCATCAATGGTTTTGTATGATTTTAGCGGATTTCTTCATATTCAGACTCAAGGATTCCAGAGACAAAAAAAATAATAATAATAATTTTTATCAGAAAGAGACGCTGAGGTACCTTAATCCCTGTAAGCGGATGTGAAACTTTATCACTGAAATAGGTAATCGGCCACAACTTGCAGGTGGAGCCATCATTTGAGAACGCACCGAATTAATTTGAACACCTAACATTTTGGTAATTTGTGATTAAACAAAAAATCCGTTCTTGCCACAAACTAAAATTCTACACAAACAATATTTGGCAGGGATTTTTGGTTAAATTAAAAATCTCCAAAAAAAATTCATATATTCTATGCCCACGGCAGCCCTACCATTCATAAACAATAAAGTCATGCACATAGCTTAAGTCACTCACATACACACATGCACAAGCACAGCTACTCGTCCAAAAACAAACAATATTTTCTACACGTGCAACTGTGTGGCAATAAACATGCAGAGCATTTTACTCTCTCGATTATATATGCGTGTATATACATACATACATCCGGAGGACTGTTGTTGCTTTGGAGGCTTTATTATTGCCTTTGCCGTTGTTGCATTGTTGTTATGTTATTACCTTATTGCTTTGTTGTGTTTCCTGAATCAGTCGATATCGTCCTGCTCTTCTGTCTTTCTTCCCACATCATTTTCCTTCGTACTCAAATTCTACTTGTTCAATGACCACTTTGAGGCCACGCTTCTTCTTCTTCTTCTATACACTCGTGAGTGTGTTTTGTTTTTTTTTTTGGCTCCTGCCTGGCTTTTCGTGCACGTTTTTATTATGGCTACATTTCCTTTATCGTGTTGACTCTTCCATTCTGTTGTTGTTTACAATTTAACATTGCTCTGGCGCTTTGTTGTTACTCTCTCATCTGTTATTGCTGCGGGTTGCAGTCGTATTGATGCTCTCGGTTTTGTTTACGTGCGCTTCTTTACAATTACCTTTGCTCTAAAATTGTTATTGTTTTTGCTATTGTTTTTGTTTTAGTTATTGTTTTTGTTTTTGTTTTTGTTTCTATTTTTGTTTTTATTTTTGTTAGTTTATTTCTTATTTAACCAGTTTTAGTTTACTCACACACTCCTGATTGCTCGGCCACTTTTCTCTCACTCTCTCTCTCTCGCTCACTCTCTCACTCTGTTTTGCTGTCGTAACGTAAGGCAAAGTGCCGGTGGCTCTCTGTCATATTTGCAATCTTGGCCGGTGTTGTTGATGGGGAATTGCTTATGTGTGGGTGTGTGCATGATTTTGTTCGATAACGTCCATGTGTCATTGTGAGTGTGTGTGTGCGTATTTATCGTGCATAGTATATAAGCAATTTACCAAATTTTGGTTGTAGGCTCGTTTGTGTATTTTTGCTTCTGTTTTTTTTTTTTTGACTTTTTTTGCGCTTTATTTTATTACAGTTTCTTGGTTTGTTTCCAACTTTTATTCTCATAATAGTTCCTGCTGTTATTGTTTTCGATCCTTTATTGCCAAATTTCTTTGAAGACACAAAGCCAATAAAAAACAGTGACGGTTTGTAGGTGATTTCAAGGGTTGAGAGGATTCTTTTTTGGTTTTTTTTGTGGGGCACAAGCAGTCCTTTTGTTTGGAGAGAGTTGGTGTTTATGAAATTTCATTAAAGAGTAGATGATAGTAAAAAAAATTTGGCCGAAGAAATAGCAAGAAGGATGAAGAGAAGAATATTATTTCCTTGGGAAATACAATTTTGA